TGTTGTTACCCCCTGTGCCCCCCACCAGAAAATTCTCTGGATCCGCCCCTAAATCCAACACAACAAACATAACTGTCTTCAAAAAGTGAAATACAAACAAGTTTTCAGATTTTATCTTATTTTGTTAGTACACATTGATTTCTGGGATTCACCAATGTTCTCATTTTTGCTTTTCCGTTATGTTTTCTCGTAACATTTAACACTCTTTCACAGTCCACAAATTGCTTGTCCAATGGAAATTAAAAAATAGCTAAAGCTAGTTGATTCGTTATTTATTTATTTAACAGATATTTTTAGTTTTTTACTCTTTTCTAGTGTTATATGTATGTTTACTGTTCCAGTGCAATGCCTACCAACTTACCTACCTCGCTTCCTACCTCGCTTCCTACCTAGCTATCTACCTAGTTACCTTACCTACCTACCTACCTAGCTACCTAGCCTTAAATAGTATTAATATGCAATATACAAAAATATGAGAGAAAGTTAAGAGAATGTTGCTGAACATGGAGACTGCTGCCATATCCAAGCGTAACAAACTAAAATCCTACAAGAAAGACAATGTTTTCCACTATTCCTTTCTCTTTCTTTTGCTCACCAACAGTCCCAAGCTCCAAGACAACTAAAAATACACCCTGTGTATGTGTGTGTGTCTGTGTGTTTGTGTGGGTGTGTGAGCTTGAAAAGAAGCAGCATAAGGCCAGCAGACTGCAAGTTATCCACGCAACGCCTAGGTATATACCGACACATATGGAAAGGAGTGTACACACACAGCAGCGACTGCCATCTGTGCAGGGCTCCTCGTCGGTGGCGACATCCGCCTACACTCGCGGTGGAGAAATAAAACAAACAAACTGTGAGACAAAGCATCTCATCTCATCCCTTTTGGCATCAGAAAGTGATATGTGAGGCCAGGCCAGACTGAATGCAGAGTGGTTTCAGACATATTGGAGATATCAAACAGAGATGATGGTTAAAATCAGGTTTTAAGAGAAGCGACAAAAAAATGTAACTTGGAGAATAATGGGAAGTAAGGGAAAAGGCTGCTTAAAAAAAGAATAGAAGTAAAAGTCAAAGCCTTACTAGAGCAGCAAAGTTATCTACATACATACACATGTGAACATATTGGGTAAACTACACAATATAAGCTCTGGAAAAAAAATCTAAATGGATCTTGAGTTAAGGGGCTAAAAATGTAAGTACCCTGCAGGTGGTGCCAGAGTTAAGTTCATAGAATTATTAAAACCGAAAGGGTTCATCCAATCAGGAGCATGGTAATCTGCCGATTACATTATGATATATCTTGTGTGTGACAAGACTAAGAGCCTGCAACAATGCTAGTAGCTCTGTGAGGCTACACTCACTCCCAACTCATCAAATACTGCCACTCTCCTCCAGTTCAAAATATGATGCCCAAGGTTTCGCTTTGGGGCTCTGTGGTCAAGTCAGCAATAACAAATATACAACGTTAGTATAAATAAATTATTGATCTTATATGGTTAATGTTGTGAAATTGCCATTTTGGTTAGGTTTAAGCCAATGATAAAATATAAATTAGTGGATAGAGATTCTAAGGCCTGTAAAGTGAAGCCAACGCCCAAGTGTCTTAAACCTGCAATTCCTTATAATCTCCAGCAGGTGGCAGCGGCCTAGGCTGCAAAAAAGAAGTATGATAGTATGGAGTCATATGGAAAAATGATCCTACTCACTTTTCTCAAGTATCATAGGGTTTGTAGCATATGCTAATTTGCAATACCAGTCCCTAGAAGTGCTTTTATGAATATAAGAGGTTAAGACAGAAAGGTAAAAATAAAAAAAGTCAACGGAATATAAAAAGATACATAGACATCATTATCTCAGTAAACAGTTTCCTAATGAGTTTATGGTCTAGGTCTCTAGTTTCAAGTCTTCTTCCATAGAGCATGATGTTCATTAGTAAATTAACTCCTCAAATCTTTACACAAACATATTTTAGCATACTGTTATCTGTAATATGAGAACATGTGTGACCAAGTTGAAACTGCGCAGCTAATGAGGGCAGCTCAACCTGCAGTACGTCGCTGAAGCAGGCTCAGAAAAACCAACATGCTCACACTCAAAGCTTCAAAACGATACTCCACAAACTAATGGTGACACAAAAACTATTTGGTAATGCTTATGTAATGATCATAAGGTAGGCCTACATTATGTACCAAACGTAATCAAACTTATGTAGGCTACATAACTTAAAAGAAGTCAATGTCCACTTTTGGTTTCAAATGGGACACAGCGGCCTCCCAGATAAAAGTCCTGTGATTGTTTCAGCAATCAATCCACCCCACCACCTCCATAAGTGAACTTTTTATACTACATCACCTGCTAGGTCAGATGGGCACGTTCTTGACTGGGCTGCTCAAGACCGTTCACCATTTTTGCCACATCATGTTTACCATGGTAACCAATTTAGTTTAACTGTAACCTGCTAACACTTACTAATTTGTACTAAAGAAAAGGCACAGCTGAGGCTGATGGGAATGAAATTAGTTTGACAGTTAGAATGTTGACCTGTTGGAGGTACATTATCTGGGGAACATAAATGTCTGTACCAAACCCAGCAATTGATCAACTATTTCACTCTGGACTAAAGAGGTAGGCAGACTGGCTGATGGACAATCCCAATCTCATCAGCCTCACCAGTGAGGTGGAAAAGTATAAGTTCTAAGGGTTTTATTAGAATTAAGGCCACTGAATCGTTAAACTCAGATGTGGTTCATCTGCTATAAGAAGATTTTCAGCAAATGTATGGTAATCAGTCCATAGATTACAAAAGAGTTAAAAGGTTTTGGTAATAAATGGAAAAGGCTCTTCCTTGGGGGAGCATGAATATATTCCATAAAATAGCATTTGTATCTAATAGGAATCAATCCATAAGTTCTCTTAAATGTGGAATGCTGCACATGTATCATAGGGCAAATATAGTTTTTCTATTGAGAATTTCAGTCCTCAAACAAACAAACAAAGAATAAAGCGACTTTCTCATTCCTTTTTTTCCCTTACACTTTTACCCATGTCACTTTTCTTTCCAAAAATTGACAATTCTGTGCGGCTGGATGGAAATATATAATGCATTTCTCCACATGCCTAAATAATTATTTGATTGCAAGTCTATTAAAATACATTTTCTCTATCACTTTCTTTTATTCCCCCTCTCTGTTTCACTGCACACACTGTGGGGCTCACAGTGAGGGGAGACAGGAGGCTGACGTTGCTCTATAAACACTCCAACTAGATGAGGTCATTCTTCCAGGATTCCTACACAGCACACACACTTCTTGAGAGAGAGAGAGAGAGGCAGAGTGCGGTCGATTGCCACCTCCAGCCACAAAAATGTGCATGACTGGGTCCATCCATTTGCAGGTTTTTGTACAAGATTTTTTCCAGTAATGGGTTAAATTTAAAATGCAATTGAAATATGATTACAAGTTTAATTAATACATATCTGCAGCACACA